ATTTCTATAGACATCCCTGCTTAACTTCTCACCTGCTCTGATCCCTAATACATCTAAAAAGGGTAAAGTATGGTTGACCTCCATCTCCATTGTCAACTTTATTTTATAGTCAATCTGGTTAATTAAAAACAAGAAATTATCTAAACTATCCTTGCTATGCTGCCATATGGAAAAATTACTAACTAACAGTTTGGGTGTCAATCTTACCTTTTCCATGAAGTGTTTCTTCATTCTTGATAAGTAATTTATGCTAAAATGGCAGCTAAGCGAGATCCTACTGCTAGGCCTTGCATCTGTTCATAAACCTTATCATTTAAGGTAAAGTTTGTTCTACTTATGGATAGATTAATAAGCCTTAAGTTTGAACTTTTGATCAGATTTCTTCCTCAATTATTTGTGGGTGCTTATCTAGGCTGATTGTTAGTGCTTCAATAGCTTTCTGAATTGGGATGATAATATAAATTGATACCACATCAAGACTAACCAAAAGATCCTCCTCTTTAAAACTTTTTTGATCTATTAATCCAGCAAATTTCTATGAATTCTTCAATAAATATTTCCAATACTCACCCACTTTCCTTAATTGTCTGCATAAAAAACGTGAACTTCTATGCATCACAGTTCCCTTATTATTAACAATCAAGCTTAAAGGAACTCCTTCCTTGCGTATTTTTGGAAGGACGTAAGCCGAAGGTGACCTGCATTCCTTTGAAGAATTGAATTAATTTTCCACTTTTAAATTCCTCCTCTGCTTATACAAACCTTAATCGATATGCCTCAAGACTCTCTGTGGGATCCTTCACTAAAATTATGTAAATTTCTGAGTCATTTAAATGAACCATCATTTTTTCCATATAACCTAACCTATCCATGATGACTACTGCACCATCTTTACTTGCATTTAAAACAAACAGATCATTTCAGTGCAAATATCTACAAATCGGAAGACTTGAATAAGGTGGAATCGACCTTCGAAGCTCATCGCCAAACAATTTCACTCAAAATGCAAGCAAATTCAACAATTATAAAATAAGAGCTTCCTCGAAATCCACCTTTTCTTCGCAGATAATAAGTTTATAAGCAGACCTTTGAGATTAACTGCAGATCAAATGTATGAGATGTGTACACGCTACATCGTTTAATGTGCTGAAGACTGTTAATTGAAATTTTACTACAAACAGATAAGTAGACCATACGCTTCCATTGAATTTAAGATAGGCTCGCTTGCCAAAAAACTAAACTAGACTGCTGTTTCAAACTCGCCTAAACTCGTCTTATCACCACCTGCGGGAATCGAACCCAGTTTGTGCTAGTTTTGCGTATACTCTCGGTATGGTAACAACTACGCCAGACTGCCACGAGTGTCATTAGGTCAAAGGGCAGATGTGAAATGCAGGGAAGACGAGCATTTCACAATATCACATACTAAGGGTAGTATTATCGATGAGGCAAAGAGGTATTTGCCATAGCAATTGACTACATTACTTATTAATTGTTAAACAGTAGACTTTCAAGACAACTTTAAACGAAATAGGTTGTATACATCTCGTATATATGATATACTAGTAATCTCTAAAGCTTACATATAAACGAAAAAATAAGTAATCTATTAGATTGCCATAGCAAATACAACTCTGCTTCATCTAAAATCCCACCCAGAATGTGATATGGAAAAATGCCTGGCCCTCCTTGAATTTTGCATCTACTCTTAGACTCAGGAGCATTTCTGAAAACGTGTGGCATAGTAGGTGACGTATCGATACTGTATACGGCACTGCCACAATCTGGGTTCGAGTCCCGATAGGAGTGCTGATGAGACCAATTCAGGCGAGGTCGAAACTGTCATCAGTCCTAGATATTTCAACTAGAACGGGTTTCATAAGCTCCTTAACAAGATTCGAGACTGGGTTGTGCACGTTGAGTCGCAGGAATGATGTGACTTTAGGGAAAAATTGACTTCTAATGGGACTTGGAGGCAGACTAAGGGAAATTTCATACTATATTTGGGCCTCTAACACACATATCTTTGAAAAATTTGTCAATTTTTTAGTGTGTGTGAAGGAGGCTTATTGTGTATTAGTATTAAAGGCTATTTTTTGTAAACAGAAGAAATGAAGTATCCAACTCACTTCGGTATCCAGTTCAATAATCCGCGGCGTTGTGCTTGTGTTCGCACTGGTCTCTCTGCTGGGCTCAATCCCAGGTCCAACCGTGGAAGAGACATTGTTGATTGCAGTCGACCTCGAGAGTTGACCAGTGGGCGATGTCGCCTTCAGATCATCAAAGACCTCATCACTTCCGGCCACTAGTTCCTCGCCTCGAGTGCCAGTCGTCGTTGCAGCAGCCAGGCCTCCGGTCGCCTCAGCAACACTGGTGCTGGCCCCTTCAGTCTCGGAGTCTACCCCGAGGAGGCTGAGGATATCCGGAAAAGTTGAGAAAGAGTAAAAAAGTCGAAATATGCCGGAAAAATTGGCAAATGATTAATACATTAGAGGATATTTTAATTTATAAATTATTGGAGTTTTCGCAACTTGGTCTTGTTGTCAGGGAGACTTTATTGAACCACTTTGACCGAAACCCTCTGCCGAGTAGTTATCATAGTTCTCAGCGTCAGATAGTGGACTTGGCACATGTTCAGACATTTCGCAGGCATCATAGTCGGTATCATCAGTTAGTCTTGCCAAAAAGTTGTTCTCCTCCCGGCTGGAGTGGACTGCACTTTCGACCTCGCATAGGTCTCATCAATACCCACAGCAGGAGTCGAACCGTGGTAGTGCAGCACGTAAATTTGACGCGTTAACCACTCGGCCACATTGACACAAAGTTAAATTTTCCCACAATCACATGAATAGCTCGTATGGTTCCCTTGAGTTTTGCACATCATCGCTTCCAGAAAGGTATTCTTATCTAAGAAGGAGCGAAGTGCAATTTCGATCTCGCCTGAGCCGGTCTCATCAGTACCCCCAGCACTACTCTAACCAGTTTTGTAACAGTGCAGTGTACAATTTTACTCCGTTAATCACTACGCCAGGTTACCACGAATGCTCTTGGGTGACAGGGCAGATATACATTTCAATTAAGGCCAGACATTTTTCCATAAAGCATTCAGAGGAAACATAAGATGTACGCATATGATTATGGGCAAATTCAACCATCAGTCCTTTATCACCTTCAACGAAATATGGTAAATACATCTTATAAGAGAATGGTTTAGTCTCAACTTGACTGGATCTTCATCCTCGCTTCATCATCCCATCCTCAACTCTGACCGGACTTGAACCAAGCATGTGCATATCAATAGGTTAATATACTAACTTCTAACTTATGTCAAACTTGCCAAATTGCTAAGTAAATTATGTGTGATTTTTGATTTACACTAAACGTTTCTCAATTTAAATCATTTTGTAAATAATTGCCCTTGTCCCCACAAATCTATTTTTCACACTTAACTGAGATTATTGCTAAGACGATGGGACAGTGGAAACTGCAGACTAGCTTAGATGGAAGATGTATTTTTTTTGTGTATGCCAAAGTGAAACTCATTGCAAAATAAGTTATTCTGCTCAATTAATCGTAGTCAAAGTCACTAAACAAAGCAAATTGGATCTAAAGCACCTCTATTATAACCAGATAATCTTCAAAACTGCTTCAAGAAACAGTTACTGACAGCCAATACATTCTAATACTATTTGTTTTTAAAGAGGAGAAACTAGTCAATTTAAGGAGCAAATAATTAATTATACTTATAGTCGCTGAGATAACTTAATCATTAGGATTAATCACAAGCTGCTTTAGCTACGATTTACTCTCAAGTATGCACAAGCTTGGTAGATATCTCAAGAAATTTATTTTATCTATAAATTGCAAATATTTATAGCCAAAAAAGACAAAACGTTTTAGGTCGGAAAACTCTTCTTCGTTCATTTTAAGCCAATACTTCAGGCAATGCTGGTTGGTGCCCAAGCAATGGTTGATTGGTGGCGCTCACCGATTTCTTGGGTACATGAGACAGAAAGGCTAGGACACCAAAAGACTAGATATTAAAACTGAGAGCATCTAAACCTACTCACCAAGAATATAAACTATGGAGTCGATTTAGACGGAAAATACCATCCTTTTACAAGATGTGAATTGGGTGAAACGATGAAAAGTTCATTTGTTCGGTGGTCCGAAAGCCCATGTGACAGTATATTAAATTGGTGATATCTCAGTGCTCTACGCGAACGACTCGGCTTTTAATCTC